TCATATGAGAGAAAGCTTTCTGCTTCCCATCAGCACAATTCTATTATTTAAGAGGATACGCGGAGGCCGAAAACGAAGATTCAAGGATCAGTTGAAGATATACCTGAGAGAGATATTTATCCACACTAATCGGCCTTCCTGGCGAACATGGGTATATATCCGATATTATTTGTTTTCAGTCAACCGTTAGCATGAAGAGGATCTGCGATGGATGCAGCCGCGTCCACCACCCACACTCGTCCCACACTCATCCTTCACAGCCATTTCCGTCACCCGACCAGAGGGGCGAAAGGGAATAAAGAGAGAGCATGATGATCCTTCTGCTTGGATGTGAGCAGGTGCTAAATACTTCTACTAATGGACAACATATAGTTTTGTACTACTTGCACCCCTGAAGATGATATTGGAAGATCGAAAGTCCTTGGTAAATGAAAATAAAATAAATTTAAACAGCTCTAGTACATTTCTCTTATCCTTTACAATCAATACATAGAGGTTTATTCGTGAGTATGAACGGATTTTTTAAAAACTAGCAAACATAATGTTTGGAATTTATTCAACCAGACAGGCCTATATATATATATATATATATATATATATATATATATATATAATCGACTCTCCCGCCGAGATTCGACGTACGAGGGTCAAGCAGATCAGTTTCCCAGGAAACCGACAGCCCGACACCGGCACATGAGATTTGATTATAATGGTGAAGGTTTCGTGCAGGACCATCCACACTTTTTGAAGGGCCGAATACAGAGACTTGGTACACTACGTGCCACAAGGTCCCCAAACGACCCTCCTCAGGTTTTGAATTCAGAGTTGTCCTTCTCCTAGACCAGTTGCCATCCAAGGTTATGGAACCCAGTCTGTCCTGCTATTTACCCATAGCTGGAGGGAGAATAATAGGATTCACACCTTCCCCAAGGGTATTAGCACGTAAGTTAATTTAATGGATTCGACTGGAAATCGAACTCGGCTCCGCGATTCCTCAGTCCAAGCCGCTATCCATTACTCCACCGGGAGTTTACAGAGTGGGAGCGAGAGTAAAGAGGTGTGATGGAGGAATAGTTCAGGGCATCTGGAGATGTCGATTGATATTACATTTGAATAGTTGGAGATTATAGCTATCAGGGAAACAAATACTAGGAAGGAAATTCCACAGACGGGAGGTGCGAGACCTGAAGCTATTGGAGTAGAAGAGATGGCCACATTTCACCGTTTCAACAGTGAAAGGGTGGGACCGTGATGCCAGCTTAGTAGCACGCTTAAATCCATGCAGTCTAAGAACCAGCGATAGAAGCTCATCAGAGCAGTTACCGTGAAAGTATTTGTCGAAAAGACAGAGGGAGGCGACGGTACTTCTGTGTGAGCACGACTGTAACCGAGTTGCCAGATCACGGCCAATTACATTGCATATCCGTCTATGGATTTTGTCGAGCAGCTTAAGGCGAACAGCAGGGACACCAGGCCATATATGGCAGCAGTATTCCATTCAAGGGAGAATGGTTGATTTGTAGATTTGAAGGATGGACTTGGGTGATAAAAAACTTTTTGGCGCGACACAGGGAACCAACTTTCCTTGCGGTAGATGAGGCAATTGATTGAATGTAATTGTTCCATCACAGGTAGTCGTAAAGAGGTGCTCACGTAGATGTGAGCATCAGACATTCTAATGGACAACAGGGATGGTTCCCTGTGGTGAGTAATAGAGAACAGTTTTGTTTTAGAGGTATTAAAGTTAACCAGCCAATTCTTGCTCCAGTCCACAACCGATTGGAGGTCCTTTTCGAGACTAACGGCCAGGTTAGTTTTGTCAGCGATACATTATTATATATATATATATATATATATATATATATATATATATATATATATATATATATAATTATTTATATATTACAGTGTAACCCGGATATAAGAGACCCGGATATAAGAGAAACCCGGATATAAGAGATTTTTTCTCTGGTCTCAAAGTGTTCCCATACTTACCTAAACAAAATAAATAAACCCGGAAAAAAGAAACCCGGATATAAGAGACTTCTCCGGTCCCGACAACTCTCTTATATCCGGGTTTCACTGTATATGCGCGGTACTTATTAGAAAACGCTCAATATCAGAGACAGAGCTAACATATTTGGTTGGATTGATGTGAGTTTGTGACCCTGGGTTTCACGCTTTTGCGATCGTCAACTCACATCAATCCAACCATATATATATTTTATATATATATATATATATATATATATATATATATATATATATATATATATATATAAAGACATTTTTTATGTTTAACATTCATTTTATAGATACACGTATTTAAGTAAATGCTCTGTTTATAATAAACAGTATTAAATAACATTTACCGGCCCGAATGTCCGAGAAATTTTCATAGAAAATATTCGTCCCTTGACAGGATTCGAACCTGCATCCTATACGGAACCGTCATTTAGCTTGACGTGCCTAACCATTCGGCCACAAAGGATCGTTCGGTTGGCAAGGTTGAAGTTATGAATGTACGAGATTCATGGAAGATTGAAGTTTATAAGCAGCAAATTCTTCTGTCAAGTGAGACGGTTATCTTCAGTGCACAGCCGCTAGTTTGAACTTGAAAACCAAGAGCCACAAGTACTGAAAGCGACACAGATTAAATCTCACAATACGAGGTTCTGATCTCTACTCTTGAGAGCAATGATCACAAACGTTTTGAGGGATCTTGGTAGATAGAAGAAAAAGAATATGGATATATTTTTAATATATTACTATCAATTAAACAATATGACTATCCGAATTACTTCGGATGTGTGATGGTCAAACTCTCTGTCTCCGGGCAAAGAGTATCTCCAGACGAATCTATGCCTGGGACCAGAGTCTCGTCTCGGGAGACAGCTACAATAAACCCCGTTTTTGCGGAGTCTATGGGTAAATTTTGATCGAGCCTACGGGCTCGGATAACCCACGATAAACTTGTCCATGTGCCGCATCCGATCACGTGGAGCGGTTAGTGAATAACTTACTTTCGATTAAGCACATTGTGTTACAAACGTTAATTTTCTTGTTTTTTTTTTTTTTTTTTTTTTTTTACATTTTAAGTAATCACGTCATATTTTTATATTTGTTTTGGCTTCCGTAGGGAGGTCAATTTACAATGAATTTACATAGCAAAATGTAACCCCCACCCTCGCTATTAACTTTTATAAAATATAATAATTTTTTGTCTTTCTGGTCGGGAGTACTTAATAATATTGTGAGAGATCTCCATCGACTACGATCCTAGGCTTGTTCATTACGGATCAACCCCGTTTCAGCCTGGCCTTTTTCTATGGTCCTGAATGGTCTGTTTCTCCGTCTAAGTTCTTCTGGCTTCCACTCCAACACAATCGACATCTCCAGTTGCCTTGATCTATCCACTACCCTCATCCTTTCTTCTATCACTCCTATCTGATCTTGCTCTAAATTTTCTATAACCCCTTGCGTCCTAGTGGCTTCCCGCCTTGCTTGGGGTGAAATGCTTAAAAAAAACAAAAAAAAAAAACACGATCAATCATCTTGCGAATCTGATCTGCTCTGTATTTCTGTAGCGAGTAGATAATGGATGGAATGTTGCCAGCCTCAAGCTCCACCCTTAATCCTTTCACAACGCGTCCTTGGGACCGACTATAGGTTCATCTATATCCATATATAAAAAAATTATTTCTAGTCGTAGTGCCAATTGTAAAATTGCACCCAGATAAAGATGTATTCCAAAAGCTAAGTAAAGTATTAAGAAACAGAAAAATTCATTAGACAGAAAACAAACAGAAGAGTATTGAAGTGGTACGTGATATCTGTCCTCCTGTATGGCAGCAAATGTTCGACAATCTATCCAAAGATGATGAACAGACTTGAAGCAACAGAAATGTGTTTCAATAGGAAGATGCTGAGGATACCATGAAGATGTGAGCGACGAAGAGGTTTTAGAGAAAATAGAAATAAAAAAGAAAACTTATACTTAACTTCAGATAGAGGCAAGTGAACTTTCTTGGGTACGTAATGAGGAAGGAGGACTTGGAAAATCTGACACTCACAGGACAGAATGAGGGAAAGAGGGACAGAGGAAAGTAGCGTGTAATGTACTTGTCAAGCCTGAGTAGCACATAGAGCTACAAGGTACAGGAAGATGTGGAGGGCCATGATCGCCAACGTCTTGAAGGGACACGTTACATAAAAGAAGAAGATTCACAGGAAAGAATGAGGGACAGAGGAAAGCAGCGCGTAACATACATGATGAGGAAATGGACGGTAGAACAGGCTTTAGGAGAAATAACAAAAAGACAAAACTTATTAAGAGCTACAAGGGACAGGAAGATGTGGAGGGCCATGGTCACCTACGTCCTTAATGGACACGGTATATAAAAGAAGAAGACTCACAAAACAGATTGAGGGAAAGTGGGACAGAGGAAAGCAGCACGTAACATACATGATGAGGAAATGGATGGTAGAACAGGCTTTAGGAGAAATAACAAAATAACGTATTAAGAGCTACAAGGGACAGGAAGATGTGGAGGGCTATGATCGCCTACGTTCTAAAGGGATACAGCACACAAAAGAAGAAGAAAATTGAGCAAGATTTATCATTATCATTTAACCTTATAAAAGCACCATCTTTACAACTGATAGGTTAAACATTTTTTAAAACTCCGTACCGGAATCAAAGACCATTTCCATGATAGGGACGAGACAGTTCGGTTATAAAAGCGAGAAGACTTTCAGAAATAGGACTCCGACCTCTGCAGATTGTGTGTGAAAGCCTCTTATTATTGAGTCTCTGACAAACTGTGGGGTGGGAATCAACATTTGAAAATAAAATAATAAGACAAACGAAAAAAAAAATGAAGCGAATGATGGCAGGTACAATCCAAAAAGAAAGAAGACAGAAATCACGAGAAGCTTTTAGGAATAAAGGTCACGAAATGCCATTTGCATATTTCTTGAAGGTAATATTGATACCTGTCATGTTCTGTGACAGTCAAATTTCTCCAGGAGACGAAGACAAACTGCATAAAATGTCGGACCCTTTCCAGAAAGGTCACGTGAACCGCAGTTTCAACTTGAAATCGGTTAAAAAAGCAGTTTTGGATCAAGAATTATACGAGGAATTTAATAGACCATGCCCGCCTCTCTCTCTCTATCTATCTATCTAAGTTTCTTGTCATCTATCTATCTATCTATCTATCTATCTATCTATCTATCTATCTCGATCTCTCTCACTTTCTCTCTCTGAATCTCTCTCTCTCGATCTCTCTCAGTCTGTCTCTCTTTCTCTTGATCTCTCTCTCTTTCTCACTCTCCCTCTCTCTCCCTCTCCCTCTCTCCCTCTCCCTCTCTCTTTCTCTCGATCTCTCGAACATGTGCACGTACGGAGACACATACAAACACGCCCATGCACGCACAAACACTCCCACATACACGGAAACATACGGAAACACATAGACATACACACCCGTGTTCAAAACCAAACACGCGCGCCTACACACGTGCACAGACGTACAAGACACGCGGATATACACGCATGTACACTCAGGCACACGCACGCTTGCACACGTAAACACAAGCACGTACATCTGCACGCAACCATGCACACGCCTCCGTATACACGCTCGTGCACAAGAACACACACATGGAATAAAAATAACACACCCATGTTCATACACAAGTACACACACCGGAGCATATATAGGAAAACACAAGCGCGCACACACACACACACACACACACACACACACACACACACACACACACACACACACGCACACGCACACATATGCACACGTAATCACACAAGATATATGCACAAACAAAACACGCGCTTACGAACACTCACGCACACGCCCACATACCTATACACATACTGACACACACTCACAAACACTCGCGCGAGTACATACATGCATACGGGCAGGCATAAAAATACGCAGAAATAATTACAAACGCAATGCACAAACAAAACACCCCCGCACGAACGCACACATACGCACACATCCACACGCACGCACACGCATGCAGGGCAACACACGCGTAGTGTCATACACTCGTACGAACTCATACATATACACACGCACACATATGCACATATACATTAGTTTACTATTGACCTAAAATACTATGGTATTTTTATTGTTTGATTGACCTCTTTTATTACGGTTTATCAACCTTTTGCAAGTTATTTAAAGCCAGAAGACATTTTTAGATTGCAAGAAATATTTTTGGAGTTAATACTATTTTCGTGATACACCTCTTACAAATTAACCAATAGCTGGGGGAGTAAAGATGAATTCTTACCTTTCCCAAGGGTATTTGCACGTAAGTGAATATAATGAATTGAACAGAAGATAATAATACTAATTTACGGATACAATTCCTACTAATTAACCCATAGTTAGGGAGATGAATAGGTGAGTTCATATCTTTCCCAAGAGCAGTTGCGCTTAAATGCATACAACGAACCCGACTGGAATTGGAACTCGGATTTCCGATTTCCAATTCCGACAAGTATCGATTACACCACCTGCAAATCCAAGCTTACAACACGTGGTATTTCCAAGCAGCTACCCTTCTAGGTACTAACCAGACTCGACTTCAGTGATCGTACCTTCAGGACGTAGGCGATCATAGCTCTCCACTTTTCAGTATCCTTTGTACCTATCAATAAGTTCCTTCCCTCTGACACCTCTCCCAGACCACGTTCTATCATCCACTTGCTTAAGCCCGCCAGGTATGTCATGCGTTGCTTTCCATTGTCTCTCTTTCCCGCTATTCGACCTGTGAGTATCAGATTCTCTAGGCCTTCCTTTCTCATTACGTGTCCCAGAAATTTCATCTGCCCCTTCCGGGTGAAGTATAAGCCTCCTCTTTGTTTGCATCCTCTTCAAAACCTCATCGTTACTGACACTCTCGGACCATGATATCCTTAGCATCCTTCTGTAGAACCATACCTCCGTTGCTTCGAGTTTCTTCTTCATCTTTGAAGAGACCGTTCAACATTCGCTGTCGTAAAGGAAAACTGATATCCATTATTGAAAAGGTATTTTCATGCTGGAACGAAAAATAATGAAAAACAAAAATCATCTTTCAATCTTCAAAATCTTTTCTTGGAATCAATTTTAAAGTTCCCGTCTAAATAAATTCACGCCTGTCTCTTTCTCGTCATATATTTTCATTTCCAGGGTTTTATCATCTACCTCTTCCTGATGTTAAATATAAACTTCATCCTTGTTTGCATTCTCTTCAAAAACTCATCGTAGCTCACACGCTCGGACCATGATATCCTTAGCATCCTTCTGTAGAACCACACCCCCGTTGACGCGAGTCTATTTTTCATCTTTGAGGAAACTGTCCAACATTCGCTGACGTAAAGGAAGACAGATATCACGTAGCAGCTCAGTATTTTTTTCTTTTCAAATACGTCTTTGGCCATCCCGATACGTCTTCGGATCTCAGCGTCGCATTTACCGTCCTCTGTCAAAACACTTCCCAGATATTTAAACTTCTGAACCAGGTTGATTTTAGTATTCCCGATATGTAAATCACATTTCGGGCTCATCTTTTTACTGATGACCAAGCACCCTGTCTTCTCGTAGTTTGTGCTTAGTCCCTTCTTCTCGCTCTCTTTCGCTACCTGCTGTAGGAAGTTTTGTAATTTCTGTTCCATATCTGCTATCAGTAATGTGTCATCTGCATCTTTTATGTTGTTAAAAGCATCGGAAGTCTGTATTGATCACATTCGCTTCAGAAGACTGGCCACTAACGCGATGGCGTTCCAGGAAGGGATTGATAATTGGTCATTCCTTTGAAAATATAGTTTTCCAGTGACTGCTGTGAAAACAATTGTCGTAAAAACTGCAGCCATAAAACTCTTTGAGCTGCCATTTTATGTAATCATTTCTCTCCAAGGAAGGAAATAAAGCCACTGAGACAGAGACAGAGAACAAAAAAAAAGAACAGGAATGAAGGAGACAGAAGATGGTGACTGACGTCGCATTAAAATTATTGAAGATCTTGTTTGACAGGAAAGCAAGAAGCCGAGAGTATAAATTATTAGAACTGTTACGCTTCGCTGACACTGAGCAATTTCAATAATAAAATGATGAGACCTAACTGCCAATCTAGCACTGCTCTTAAATTCACAGAAACGAGGTACCAAAAGAGTAAAACTCATCAGAACAATTATCATGAAAATATTTATAGAAAATCTACGTTACACGCGTGTTTTATATGTGCATATATCTGGTGTGATTACGTGTGCATATGTTTATGCGTGGGTATGCCGGAATGTGCGTATGCGCGTGTGTGTGTGTGCGAGTGCATGTGCGTGCTAGTAAGTATGCATGCGTGTGCGTGTCGACGTGTGCGTATGCAGAGGCGCTTGTGTGTGTGTGTGTGTGTGTGTGTGTGTGTGTGTGTGTGTGTGTGTGTGTGTGTGTGTGTGTGCATTGCGTGTGTGCCCGTACTTTCCCGCGTCTGTGAAACGTCTGTCAGTTCGCGGAGGTTGGGAAGTGACTGAAACCAAGATGCCAGGTTAGGATCGAAAACGTTGCAGATTCTTCCTTAGATTTTCGCCAAGAATCTCTAGATATATATATCAGAAGCACCAAAAAGAGAGAACGCACAAAAAGAATGTCTACATTTCAAAGAATTTTTATAACGAAAACCAAAATGTACATTGCATAATAATATGACATCATTTTGAATAGTTGTTCCCCATCAAGCCCGAAGATTCAATTTAGATAAAAAAAAAAACCCATTTCTCATTGGTCGAAGTAATTTTCAAAATAAGCTTTTCGATTGCTTTTCCACTTTCTTTCTTTTTTGTTTTGGTCAATAACTTTTATCAGAAATCTTTATATATATATATATATATATATATATATATATATATATATATATATATATTACCAATCTTCAATGCTTGTCATCTTTCGGGAAAAAGATGGTAATGGACATTTTAATATTCAATAAAATATGTCCTAATTTACCTGCATATTAAATCGATTTATATATACGCCCACGCATATGACAACAACAACAATAATAATAATAATAATAATAATAATTAAACATAACAGGCTAGGTCGATATAGTCATTATATATATATATATATATATATATATATATATATATATATATATATATATATATACACCGAAAACAGGTCAAAATCGCTACACAATTGTGGTCGTGTTTCGATATGTTCAAATGCATCTCTTCAGGCGATTGTAAATTACTGGCGAGTGAATGATTCATTTAGACTTAAAAGCAAAATACAACATTTTTTACGAAAAAGAAAAAAGAGGGCGTTATAAGGTTTTTGGGCTTTACTCTGATCAACCAATCAAATATGACTTACGTTAAATTTAAACTAAGCGAACAAGCAAAAAGTTAAAAAATATATTTTTTATAAATGAGTCATGGCCGTTAGGCATAAACTAGAGTAGATACAAATTGTTACATAAATTATAAAAACTAGAAAATGCCATTTTCTAGGAAATACAAAGGGGGTAGAGAGTTAATTTAACAAAATGCTAAACAAATTATATGCTTTGTGAGTTTCCTACATAACATTTTTTGTAGTTGATAAATAAATAGCTTCTTTAAGAAACTAGTAAATAATTTTAACGTATACAATTATTTGGTAAATTAATATGCAAGTGTTGAATAAATATATTAAATCTATATTCATATAAAATGTTAATAACACTAACTAATCAATGGAAAATGTCAAAAATACCAACCAATACATCCGTACAAGATGTTACTAATACTACCAGAAGTTTGATACAATTGTATTAAATCGAAATTAAACTTACAAATAGAAAGACAATCCCTATATGGTGAAACGCGGTACAAAAAAATCTAAGAAAAAGCATAATCAAATTCCAAAGGTTAACTAAATTTTAAGGTAAAAGATAAACTATGTCATATATATATATATATATATATATATATATATATATATATATATATATATATATATGCCATGGAATTCTACCTAAACTCCATGACAATCACCTTCGAAAATAAGTTATTCAAGCTTAACCTAAAATTCATCAACATCACAAAAAACACTAAGAGATTTAGTTAGCAGGAAACGAGATGACAACAATAACATGACAGAGGCAGGGATAGAGGGAATTGATTGTACAAAATGCCTGACTGTTTACATCGGTGAAACATTCAGAAACTTCAAAGGAACAAAAACGAAAAACAAAAAAAAAAAACTATATGAACATCGTAGAGATATGCTGCATAACAACACTTTAAACGTACTGGTGGTTTACCGTAATACATCTGATCACAATCTCGACTTAACAAATGCAAGTCTGATCAGGAGAGGAAAGAATTCACTCAGGAGATAATGCAGGGAGATTGTTCTAATCTCACATACCTAAGACCAGGATAATCTGTTATATCATCGATCATTGCAAAAACAATGATAGCACAAAGTGTTATACGAACAAGTAGAGAAAAAGCATTCATCTATTCGGGGTGGGATGATTTAAAATAAAACAGAATCTAACGGCTATAAAGCATGCTGAAAGTGAAGACAGTTTCCCCTGCCGAAAGGGGTGCGCGTGTGAGTTCTACTGAAGAGCAGGTATTTTTTTAAAATATTTCGAATATTCAGGCCGGTAGGCGAAAATAAATGTTTAATAAAATAAACAAAGAGTCTACTCAAATACTACAATCCACTAAAATAACGATTAAGTAACAATAATAATAATAATAATAATAATATATCAGGTTGCGTGATACTGGTACCCACTGAATATAAACTACGGTACTACAGAGTGTGACAATATCTGCACTGGAAAATCTGCAACATTTACGGAAGGGAAACTGCAAGAAATTGGTATGAACACCACCCAAACCCGGTTACAGAGATAATAGGACCTGTAACAGTTTTATGGAACTTTACAATACAAACAGATAGAACAACCAAGGCTAATCGCCCTGCCCAAATAGATAGAACAACCAAAGCTAATCGCCCTGATCAAAGATCACAAAGACAAAATGTGCTTCCTTATTGATAATCGCAGTCCCTGCAGACTGCAATTTATGTTTGTAGTGCTTCAAACAATCTATCAAAATACAAGGAGTTTGAAATCGAAATCTCCAAAATGTGGCACATGAGGGCATCATACATTCCACTTGTAGTTGGAGCCCTCGGATTGGTTGGAAAAGATTCCAATAGACTCATTGAAGGAATCCCTGGTAGTCCATGCCTTCAAAAAATACAAAAAATTATTCGCACAAGTACAGCCCACACTTTGCGAAGGGCTTTATCTATGTAAAATATGTGCGATTTTTTTTTCAAAACTGCTCAATGGAAAATGTCATGATGTCATTTCTGGCCTTAAATCTCATGTCGGGACCTGGAAAGAAATGAATATACACCAGAAACCAAAGGAAATAATAATAATAATAATAATAATAATAATAAGTTTTTTCTTTCTAAACTGCTTTGTAAAACATCATCCAGCAGGTGTTAAGAGAATACGTTGACAGACAAGATTGTTTAATCCCAGAAAAAGGATCTAAAAGAAGATGAAAGATTAAATTAGGAATTAAATAAAAAATTGTTTCGACGTATGTGAATCTGACAGGTTAATTGTTTCAGTTGTGAAATTGTGTGCGATAATCTTAAGTAGCACTTAAGACCCGCTAGTGATTTACAAAGCAGGCCACATATAGAGCAAGAGTGAGGATTGTGGATGAGATTACTGTTAGATTGACGGACCTTTTAGATCTTGCTCTCGCTTCTTGAAGACGATTCAAACAAGAAGATTGAAAACAGCTAAGTCCACTAAAACACGTTGATCGCCATTCTACCAGCTCCCACTGCTCATATATATATATATATATATATATATATATATATATATATATATATAAGTGTGTGGTGCAGTTCAATTTACATTACATGAATCATTCATACAAAAAAACAGATATGGAAGATATATTAAATTTGTTTGCAAAAGATGTATTCTCGCCATTTAACTCATTAACTTCTATATCTGTTTTTGCGATATATCTTTAATGATTCATATATATATATATATATATATATATATATATATATATATATATATATATATATATATATATATAGAGAGAGAGAGAGAGAGGGGGGGATGTATCAAAAATGCTTAAACTACATGGCACAAGGCCGAACATGGGAGGCACCCAGTGAGTGATCGATCCACTACTGAGACGAGTTCGATCATCACTGGATGCCTCCTACGTTCGGCATTGTTCCACATCTAAGCTACGCTTGGAAAATCGCTATATATATATATTCTTTTTATAGAAGTAAATGCTCTGTTTATAACAAACCGTATTTATAATTTAATAAACAACATTTACCGGCCTGAATGTCCGAGAAATTTTCACAGAAAATATTCGTCCTCCGACAGGATTCGAACCTGTATCCTATACGGAACCGTCATTTCGCTTGACGTGCCTTTAACCGATTTGGCCACAGAGCAGCGAATTTACTGTATTTGAACTTCAATCTTCTATGAATCTCTAAAATACATTCATATCTGCTCATGGCGTATTAAATGTAAACAAATAACGTCACACATGAAATGGACAAAGTCTGTCAATCCTTTTAAGATATTTTTATGTTTATACATTCTTTTTTAGATGTTTCTAAAGAAATATTCGTATTTCTTAATACCTTGCTTAGCTTTTGGAAAGTATCTTTTACTCTTCCAATGAACCATTTAGGTGTTGCATTTTCCCTCCCCTGTTAGAACACTTCTTAGATATCTAAATTGGTTTACTTGTTGGAATCTGCAATTTGTAATTCGCATTCTAGTTTGGTTTGGTTTGGTTTACGGCATTTCAGCCCCAGTGGGTGAGAAAGTTTTCATTGCTGGTAATATTTTGTTTTGTTAAAAATCTTTTTCTGGTAATATATTTTTTTTCAAAAATGTGTTGCTGGTAATAATTTAAAAAGAAAAAAAACTATTGCTGGTAATACGTTTTCCTCAAACATGTATAGCTGTTATCGTTTTTTAAAAATTCATTGCTGGAAATAATTATTTTACAAAGTATTTCTGGTATTAAGACCTGTTTTTACACTTTCATGGTGTTTTACACCAGTTTGGGGGTTAACTATTTGCCCATAGCTGGGACCCTAACAGGTGCTACCACCTCGGGTCAGAGCGAACCTGGGAACACCAGCAATTAAGAAGTGGTTCCACGCTCCTCAAAACCTCTTGATCAGAGGCCTTGCTGTTGGATGTAGTTTATCGTTTTACTCAGGACGCGGATGTAGTTTATTGTCATACCCAGGACGGAATTCGCACTCTGGGCTGTTCCTTTCGCTGATAATATTAAATTCTATTCTCTTAAAATTGGTGCTTTTAATCCTTTCTTCTCACTTTCCTTTACTAGGAACTCCTTTGTAGGAATTTCCTTTCTGTGTCTACTATTACTTGCATATCTCATTGACTCAGTTGGGGGTCAAGTAAATATCTACTTGCATATCTCATATTGTCAAGATTGTGGCCGCCAAAAACGAATCCTGGCAGGACTTCTAATTCACTCAGAATCGATCCCAACCCTAAAATTCAAAGAAGGCGGGTGAGAAGACACATCCTCGACTTACGCCATTTTTTTTTTTGCGCATTTACTTTGGCTATGCATGCGGTTTTTCGTCCAGTATAAGTTAAAGAAAAGCAACCAATTTAAATTCGAAGCTGAAATTTTCATTTCGTATGATTTGGTGTGGTTTAAATACAGCACAGTGCGCGGGTAATGTATACTTCGAACCTCTCAGGGAATCTATGATATGCCCCCCCCCGCTATTACATCTCAATTTTCATAAGGTAGTATTTATATCAAATTCATTTTTTGTAGACTAATTATATACAATAATGGATCACTTGCAATATAGGCGAGAATTTAACTAGATAGATTGAAAATAAATACAATGTGTCGAAATAAAAATTAGAGACATATTATAATAGATTCTTCCATCTTAAAGAAATCAACAATATTATGTGTTGATTTTTAACATAAACTTGAGATTTTTCTTGTTAAAAAGTTGAATAATTTTAACCTTTTCACCCCCTAACCAAAAAGGTGATGAGAACAATAAAAGAACAAGTAATACAGTAATAAAAAGCACATGCAATGGATTCAGTTTTATTCACTTTCATTAACGCTGTCACACATCGAGAAGGCCAGGCACAAAATGATGCGGCTATATATCTCTGTTCCCATCTATCTATCTATCTATCTATCTATCTATCTATCTATCTATCTATCTATCGAGTGGTCCGAAAGTCTTGTTACCCCTTACCAAAAAAGTTAATGAGAACAACAAGTAATACAGCAATGCAAATCACAGGTACTTATTCAGTTTATTGACTTTCGTTGACGCTGTCACACATCGAGACGGCCTGTATGAATAACATCATTTTCGTGGCACAAAATGATTCGGCGCCATGTCCTATGTAAAATTTTACGCAGCCGTGCTTTGTTGATTGTTGCAAAAGCTCCCCGAACGGCATTCTTCAGCTGATGGGTATCTTGGTATCGTTCATGTGAAACTCTCTCTTTGGTAATACCTCTACAGATCGTTGAAATAGAAAAAATTATTATTATATAGAGGTGACAAGACATTCGGACCACCCTGTATAATGAATTTTGTGTTTTTTCCAGACAAAGAAAGAAAGAAAGAAAAGAAAGAAAGAAAGAAAGAAAAGAAAAAAAGAAAGAAAGAAAGAAAAGAAAGAAAGAAGACCCCAAAATGACTTTAAAATCTGCGAAAATCTTTCGCCCTTTAATGATCAGTTGTTTTTTTTTAAATTTTTAATATATATAAATGTAGGAAGTAAAAAATAGCGAGGGTCACAAAGCACTGCCCGAGGACCCCAATCAGGCAACGGCCTCCACCTGGTCGTGGAGTTCGGTGGTAGTACGCGCCGGCCTTGTTTGAACGGGAAATCAAAAGGAAATATACAGAGCGGGGGAGGTGACCGTTTGTTGATTAAACATTTTATAAATTACCTCCCTGGTTAGTCTCGTAATGCTGAAGCACTTACTCTAATTAAATAGGAAAAAAAAAAATCTTCCCAATCATTTCAGATATGACTTTTTCGATTATTTTATGCCACTATACCAAATTACCTAAACGTATAAGACTACTACTTTCCATTTTAGCGATAATGACTTCAGCTGGAACAAATATAAATAAAAGTGATTTATTTTCCGCGGAAAAAAAAAAGATTCCCGTAGACCTGTTTTAATACGAGTGGTAAATAAATAATTTAATTAACTCTTTGCCTATTCAGGGCATTTCCGTGTCTACTATCAAACGTCCATGCTTGTTTTTTCAGATTTATAACTATTGCAAATAACTCTGCTTGTTTTCTAAATAGAATGTATATATATATATATATATATATATATATATATATATATATATATATATATATATATATATATATATATATATAGTGTTTGTTACAAGCTTGTCTCGCTAAAACAATTACGACTGAATAGTGAGTTCGATCCTCACTGGGTGCCCCATACTTTCGACCTTGTGCCCCATCTAAGCTACGCTTGGAAAATCACTATATATATATATATATATATATATATATATATATATATATATATATATATATATATATATATATATATATAGTGTTTCCATAATAAAAATGTACAAATCATAAATTATTTACACTAGGCTGTGTGTATCATATATGATACACGGGTTTTTATTATGGGAAACACTATATATCAACATTCTATTTGCCAAATAACCTGAGTTGTCTTGCAATAGTTATAAATATGTTATAATCTCTGCATCCATTTGGGTGAGTTTTGGATCCCTCACCTCTACGAAATGTTATAATTTATTGTCTTTGAAATCTTGGAATTTATTATCCACCTTAAAACAGTTTTAACCCTTTGCCTGTCCAGGGTATTTACATGTCTACCATCCAAACATACATACTTGTGCTTGTTTGATTTATATCTATTGCAAGGCAACTCAGTTTGTTTGATAAATAGCATGTGATGATATACAATGTTTAGCATAATAAAAACGTTCAAATCATAATCATGCACAGGTTTTTTATTATATGAAACACTATATATGAGCAAATTCTATTTGCCAAATAACCTGAGTTGTCTTGCAGTAGTTATAAATCTGAAAACAGGGAAACGTCCTGTAGTCATATTTGATGCACAAAATATTAGATTTTGCCTTTCCTTAGACATCCTGCTTAATAGTAGACTCCTTTCACAAACGTCCTTAATTTTAGCATTTTTTTAAAACCATGGCTCGTGTATACCACATATGATGCACGGACGTAGAAATAATATGCCATGTGCATCATATGTGAATGGTTGATTCGGTTTACGACTCCTCTTGCTGTCCTCTACCACTACAAGAGACACATCAAGCTGAAAATACAGTACTACTGCTATATATGGGTTGGAGCTGCACAGTCTTCTCTTTCCAGTCTCAATCGAGTTCAAAAGAGTCTCTGTGTGTTTGTGGGTGACAAATTATTTTCTACCCTACAACACCTTTTGCTGATGTGACATTGCAAGCCTTTCACTGTTCAATCGCTATTTTCAGGAATAGGGTTCAGATCTTTCGTAGAAGTGAGGGATCTGAACTTGCAATAGATATAAATCTGACAAGCACAAGTATGTATGTTTGGATAGTAGACATGTAAATGCTCTGGACAGGCTAAGGGTTAAAACTGCTTTAAGGTGGATAATAAATTCAAAGTTTTCAAAGATAAGACCCAGAGACTCTTTTGAACTCGATTGATACTGGAAAGAGAAGACTGTGCAGCTCAAAAAAAAATACTTGTCAGATTTATATCTATTGCAAGGCCACTCAGTTTGTTTGGCAAATAGAATATGTTGTTATATTGTCTTTCGCATAATAAAATCATACAAATACATATAGTTATTTACACTACGCTGTGTGCATCACATGTGATACACAGGTTTTTATTATGTCAAACACTATATATTAACAGATTCTATTTGCTAAATAACCTTGCAGTAGTTATAAATCTATAAACAAGAAAGCGTCCTGTGGCCAAATTTGATGCACAAAATATTAGATTATGCCTTTCCTTAGACGTCCTGTTTAATAGTAAACTTCTTTCTTAAGCATCCTTAACGTTAGCATTCTTTTAAAATCATGGCTCGTGTGCAGCACATATGATTCACAGGCGTGGAAATCACATGACCTGTGTATCACATATGATAATCTGCAAACAGGTTGATAATCAGTAGAAAATAGATCAATCAACCTTTGATACACTAATACAAAGTAAAGCAAATTTTAATCTTTCATAAATCGCGTGCAAAGCCTTGTACTCGCTCTCCTAGATAGACTTCCACCCTGATCTGAACATGAATATTATTACAAAGATCATACTTGTACTATCCACACGTCCATGCTTGTATTCGGATCTATAACTGTTACAGATAATCAATAGAAAATAGATCAATCAACCTTAGATACACTACCGTAAGGAATATTTTAATGTTGCATTAAAGTGCGTGCAAAGTCTTGTACTCGCTCCCCTACATAGACTGCCACCCTGTTTTGAACATTATTATACTTATTTTCTAAGCGTAGCTTAGATGTGTCACAAGGCCGAGAGTATGGCGTACCTAGTGAGGATCGAACCCACTTTTCAGTCGTAACTGATCTAGCGAGACATGCTTGCTAACCATTATTCCACGCCGAGGAACCCGCATCACTAATATTATAAAGATACATTTTTACTTCAATTTTCTACTCTTTCTTTCTCTCTTCCTCTCTCTTTCACTCCTCCTCTCTATCTGCCTCTTACACCGTCCTCCTCTATCTCCTTATCTATTTACCTCCCTCTATTATTCGTGAATCTTGGTTCAGTGAACACAAAAACGAGTTTCCTGTTTTAAAATGGCTCTCTTCTAGAGCAGCTTTGAGGTGATTAAATGGCGATTAGATTCCTCTATATGCATTAAACAAGTCAATAAGACGACATAAATCATCATGTACTTAAACATTTGACTGCTCAGAGAAATTTCATTTCCACAAGTCTAAAATTGTTTTCAGATCTATAACTATTACAGATATCCTTCTCATTAGCAGAATTTTATTAAGCGGTCTTAGTTCATGCTCAAAGATGAGGACAACAATTTAAATAGTGTAAATTGGGATCGTCGATATCAATAAAAGATCATTTAAATACATCGGCCTACATATATGCAGCAAACGAATCAAGACAATGGCATAAATCATCATGTACTTAAACCTTTGCCGATTCAGGGAAATTTCATGTGTATTATCCACACGTCTATGCTTGTTTACAGATCTATAATTATTAAAGACGTCCTGCTCAATAGTAGACGCTTTTATTATTTTATTTTATCTTTTAAAATCATGGCTCGTGTACACCACATATAACGTACGGACGTGGAATCTATAACTATTGCAGATAATCAATAGAAAACAGATCAATCAACTTTTCAACCTTCTATACGCAAATATAAAGTAAAGCAAATTTTAATGTTTAATTAAAGTGCGAGCAAACCATTGTACTCGTTCTCCTAGATAGACTACCACCCTGAATTGAACATGCGTCAGATTAACCCTTTGCCAGTTCCGTGTGTACTCTCCAAAAGTTCATGCCTGTTTTCAGATTTATTACTATTGCAACGCAACTTAGCTTCTTTGGCCAATAGAATGTGACGATATATAATGTTTCACATTGCAAAAACCTGGGCATCACATGTGATGCAGAGAACGTACAAATCAGAAGTTATTTACACTACGCTCTGTGCATTCCATGTGATGCAAACGTTATAATCATTTCAATAAAATGGGAAAATATCTTTCATTCGAGACCGTACATTATCAGTCAAGCGTCCTGTGATGCACAAAATATTACATTAGGCCGTTCCTCAGACGTCCTGCTCAATAGTAGAATTTTTTCTTAAGCGTCCTTAGTTCAACGTCTCTTTTAAAATCATGGCTCCTGTGCAGCACATGTGACGCACGGACGTGGAAATCACATGTCCTGTGCATCACATAGGATAAACTGTAAACGGGTTTATAATCAATAGAAAATAAAACAATCGACGTTTCAATCAAGCTTTCAAAGTCTTGTACTCGCTCTCCTAGATAGACTGCCACCCTGATCTGAACATGAATATTATTATAATGATAGTTTTACTTCACTTTTCTACTCTTTCTTTCTCTCTTCTTCTCTCACTCAGGCCTCCCCTCTCTCTCCCTCTTACAACGTCCCTCTGTCTCTTCCTATCTATTTACCTTCCTCTATTAGATTAGGCTTTTCCACAGACCTGCTCAATAGTAGACGCTTTTCTTAAGCGTTCTTAATTTTAACACACTTTTAAAATCCTGGCTCGTGTGCCCCACATATGATGTACGGACGTGAAAATCACATGACCTTTACATCACAGATGATACAAAGGACAGGCAAAGGGTTAATGGAGGCAATACTTACAGCAATATCACTTGTATCATATCGTATTATATAATTTGTAATAACATCAACTTAATTTTATACACGGAGGAATCATTATGATAAGCCTAACTGCTAATGGCGGCGTAGGGTAGCCTACCGTACCTGGGCTAGACTAGGTTTTTGCTCATCTTATATACGACGGATATCAGATAAAATCATAAAAAATTACTAGATGTTGTGTCTGGACGTATGGATAGGTCACCTTATACGCGGAGATATAGGGTATATTTATAGGCAAAATTAGAATTTTTTATACTCGACAAAAAATATTTTGTGCATTATATGATCACAAGACGTTTGCTTTTTTTTCAGATTCATATCTGTTGCAAGACAACTCAGCTTATCTGGCAAATAGAATGTGATGATATATAATGTTTCACATAATAAAAGCCTGTATATCACATGTGATGCACAGAACATAACAATCATAGGTTATTTACACCACGTCCTGTGCATCACATGTGATACAAACGTTATAATCACTTCAGTAAAGTGTAAAAATAGATTAAGACCTTACATTATCAGTCAAGCGTCTTGTGGTCACATATGATGCATAAAAATATTACATTAGGCCTTTCTTCAGACGTCCTGCTCAATAGTAAACTCTTTTCTTAAGCGTCCGTAATTTTAACACTCTTTTAAAATCATGGCTTGTCTGCAGCACAGGATCCAAGGACGGAGAAATCACATGTCCTGTTCATCACATATGATGCGCAGAACAGGCAAAGGGTTAAATAACCTCATCAGACAGAGACTTTCATGTGAATATCAGGCATGAACCCAAACCCATTCAGAAACATCTAAACTGTCAGCTCTTTACAACTGCTTTCTTAGACCAATTGTTAAATATAGATTTGAACCAGTAAACTCTTCGAGAAATCTTATTAAAGAAAAATATGCGCTCTCCGACAGGATTCGAAACTGCGTCCATCCAGGAGTGAAGCCGTCCTGTGGTCATGTATAATGTACAAAATATTAGATTAGGCCTTACCATAGACATCCTGCTTAATAGTAGACTTCTTTCTTAAGCGTCCTTAATTTTACCACCTCTTTTAAAATCATGGGTTGTGTGCACCTCATATGATTCATGATCGTGAAAACCACATGTCCTCTGCAACACATATGATACGCGGGACAGGCAAAAGGTTACCATTCTGTTCGTCGTGTGGGTCAATTCTCACAGCATTTGTATCGTGGGATTTTCAAGCACGCAATGTTAGATATTATACATATATATCTTTGAACCTTTTCTTCCCTTTCTATAGATTGCCTTGTGTGTCCTTTCTGTTTTTAATGTTAATGGTAATATTAGCCGTTTGCTTATAAGGAAACGTTCATAATCAGAACAGCAAATTGTACTCGAGTTGCGAATTCTCTGGCCATCGAGTTGGCATTAAAGTCTGTCTAAATCTGTTCTCCGCATCTTTAATGGTAATTGTAATATCAGACATTTTTATGAGGAAACATTCGGTATTCTTTGACCGAGCGGCCAGTGCTATTCGAGTTACGATTTCTTTACTCATTGGCTACCAAACTGGGAACAAAATGAGTGAAGTAAAGCTTTATTTTCCTTTTTAAGGAAAACGCATTTCCTCACAAAGATATTTTTCTCGAAATACCATATCTGCTTAGTCCCGTACCCGAAACTTAAACAAAACAATTTTAAAGAATTTATTTACAGCCCGACATTTTTTGTTGTTAAATTTTATCATTACTTTATCTATTACTTCGTTATTATAGTTGATTGATTGATATTTTTACGGCTTATCAACTCTTTCAAAAGTTATTTAAAGCCAGAAAATAGTTTTAGATTGTAAGTACTTTTCTAGCGATAATAATGATTTACAGATACAAGTCCTACTAATTAACCGATTGCTGGATAGAAAAGAGGCGGATTCATATCTTTATCAAAAGTATTTGCGCGTTTGTCTAACAAGTCGAATGCACGTGAAACATGATTGACCAATAAAAATCGAACAACACAAAAGTAAATATAACAGAATTTCCTTTTCACCATATTTCATTCTCTGATGAAGCTTTAATAAAAGTGAAATATATTCGATTATTACATCAGTTAGGACTTAGTAATGAGTTCGATCCTCACTGTGTACCCTTTACTTCAAGAAGTGTGGCACATTTTCTCTCTCAAGCCTTGGGTCAAACCATGTTATGGTTTGTTAGGCAATTTCCAGAGGTGCCGCACGCTGAGATGTATAGTGTAAGGGTTAGCATATATATATATATATATATATAGAGAGAGAGAGAGAGTCATCCACTTACAAGCCTGTTTTGCTGTGTCAC